ATAATAATTTTTGACCAATCTTCCATGAAACGAATCTCTCAACAAGAGAAAACCCATCAATTCTTAACAATGTTTACGTCTCTGTTTTTGTTTATCACAATGCAGAGACTACGAAAATTTCGTGAATGAGTGTTTGAAACTTACTCGCCGGCAATTGCTGGGTATTTATATACAGTGTTAATCAATCAGCGGAGCATTCAAATAACTTATTTGTTTCTTTTATCCAACATGTGTTTATCTGCGTAAAAAGTATTTTAAATTTCTTTCAAAATACCACAACAATAGCTTATATATCATAATATGATAAGCATTGCGTTGTACATACCTATAGTTTCATGGCTGGCGAAGAGTAAAGAGTTAAAATAAATTGTCTTCTCATATTTACTCTACTAATGTAGCTTAATGGATGAGTGGGTAGTAAGTCAAGCTGACCAAACAGCATAAACACAATAACTTATGCTCATATTTTGCGCTCCACAATTTATCTACAATACATAACGCTGAAATAAACAAAATGCTTTGAGTGTTTGAACAACACTCGCAGTTGTTGTTGCCGCGCGCCCTCTACTGGAACATACAAAATGAAATACATACATACATACAAAGTATCATACTTTCAGGTGAAAGTTGTATTTATTTATTTTTTGTGACCTTACCTTAAAGTTTATACAATAAAATAAACAACTGTTAACTCCTCTCTCTCTCAGATAAAATGCAGAAATTGCCACGATGGCAACATCAATATATGTTGTGATGCTTAAAGCTTTAAAATTGTTTCTAAATTTTTATCTCCTACACGTGTGGAAACAAAAACAGTAAACATTATTTGGAAATGTTTTTTTACAATAGTGAAGCTTATTTATAACTGTTGATAAGAATAATACGATATATTCACACTATGACTTTCAAATATGACATGAAAGTAGACTGTCTATTTTGAATATAAATATTATATTTAATTTGAAATAATTTTTAATTATACATAGATTTCGTCATATATACATAAATAGTCTAAAGGGCTTCTAAAGCTTTATATAGTTTTGTGATTATATTTTATTTTAGTATTGCCTAGTCATTTCTTGAAGACATATATAATGAGCTTGTAAATGAGTTATCATAAAATAAGTATGGTATATGGATGTCTTGCTTTCAAGATCTAAGATTTCGTAGATATACCTGTCAAAAATGATAATTCATAACTCTGATGTTAGATTAAAGAAATCGCACGAGAAAGTGTCGTTCATTTCTTTTTTCGTTTAATGAACAGGCATACCTCGAAGAGAGCAATCCCAATCGAGATGCAGCTGGTGTATTACATAAAGCCATAATTTTATGTCATACCACAAATCGAAGTTGTATTTAAGATCCAAAAAGTAATGATTTCGATACTGAAATTAAAATCTGACAAATTGGATTGATAACATTCTGGAAATTTATTAAACATCTACTGCAATCTTTCGTTTTATAACCGTGATAGATCTTAAAAAGAAAAAGATTGTGCGTTACCGTTCATATGCGAAGGTTATAGCCCAGAAGCTCCCCATAGACTTCGGCAACATGATTGCCTTTCGAATGACCTCCTTGGTAAATTCCATTCATCAAGTTCGCCCGACTCTTATTTCTCGCTGAATTAAACTTTAGCGGTGAAACACCCTGAAACCATTCCTTCCATTGGTATATTTGGTGCAAGTATTTTGATTTGGAGATAGTGGTTGTCGTGAAGTTATTTACTTATGCTAGAACCAGGTGATATGAACAACCATGTTAGTAAAGGCAATCAGTCACCGTTATCTAAGGTATATTTATTATCGTAGAAAAAGGTTAGAGGACAACGTATTTTCTTCCATTCTTCCTTCGTAACAAGGGCAAAAATCAGTTGAATGTTTAGAATCTTTTTATACCCTGTGTCTGCCATGAAGTTTGTAACAACAAGAAGGAAACGTCGAATGATCAGCAAGCTGAGCAGAGTCGATTTAGTTATAACTGTCTGGCTGTCCACCTGTATATACGCGAACTAGTCTCTCAGTTTTTGACATACCGCTCTGAAATTTTTCACACGTCCTTCTCTCCCTAAGCAGCCGCTCATTTTTCGGAACCGCTATAGCATATAGCTGGCATACAAACTGGTATGGAATACTTTTTTATTTGATGAGATATCTTCACGAAATTTGGCACGGATTATTAATTAAGCTGCCATATGTCGAGTTGACAGTGCGTAGCTATATATAAATCAGAGTGCATTCCAGTAACGTAAACTCGACTATCGTGAGTATGGTTTTGGTCTGGTCTATTCGAATATCTTGCTTCGACTGTTTGTCATACTTGTATACTACAGCGGCTGAATAATCTGTCTAAAAGCGCCAGGTAACGATTTGTGTGAATTTTTTTTCTGTTGCATAGTGTAATTACGTATATTAGATTGTTTGCGAAGAAAACATACGATAGTGATAACCACTATTGCTGTTTATGAAATTTTACTACTTTTGAGTTTTTGCTTTCTGTCGCTAAAGCAATAACTGCACTTGTATGTGTGTATACTAACTGCCACCTTAATTAGTTAGCAAGTGTTGGTATGATACATCTAAAGCTCAGAAAGTGTTTTTTTTTTTTTAATTTCAAACAGTGTTAGTGTATTGTTGATAACTGTGTATGACTTCTATGATATTGTACTACGTACTAACTACGTATTTGCGTATCGTATGTACTGTAATGAACTTGAACTTAATCAGCAACAGCAAGTAAAATTTCACACATTATCTTTGTAACAGTTTTTTTTTTTACAAAAGTCATTAGCTCAAAACAAATCACGCTTTTTACTAATCGCTTTGTTACGAAGGTAAATACTAAACAATAAAGATATCTGCGCATGCTTCTCCTATACAAAACACGAGCTTATGTAGATGATCTTTATCTGTTTGTATTTCATATGACAAGATGTTTGCAAATCTTATACCAAATTCTAAGTAATAGACAAGTGCGTCACTACTTTAGGTTAAGCGAAAGATCTATGGAGATGAAGATGTCAATGAGTGAAATAATAAAATTCATGCGAGAAATTGACAGATCTCAAAAAAAAAAGTGCAAGACTGGCATCTTCAAATGATTGAAAGCCTAATGACAATAGCTTATTCGGTGATTTGCTCTTGTCGGCGACATCACATCAATGTATGTTAATGTTAATATTGATAGGCAACCAGTATTGCGTAACAATACATCTCCAGCAAGTCACGAATAATGAAACACTAATCCTTTGAAAGAATTATTGTGGACACTAAGCCATATACATCGTCCAACTCATGAGCTCTATGCATAATAAAGAGTTAAACGAACACACGTACACAGGAGTTTCGGTTAAATTTATGAATTCGGCCTTTAGAAAGTCATAGAAACTTTAACTCTTAACTTAATCACTAGTAACGCTCTTGGGTGATTAACCGATAATTTGCTCGCATTGATCCGATATACAAGTATGCTTGTATGCACAAGCGAATCTTTTTCGTATTATTGTCTAGATATATTTAGCAATGGAAAATTCTATTCGTTATTAAATCACATAGATTTAGATTTGCGTCCGTTGACATTTCTTTACATTTTTCAGTACTTAAAAAAACAAATAAATATAATATACAAATAAATACCATATATTAATAAAAAATTTATATATCAAAATTAAGACATAAAAATAGACTTTTTAACATCTCTGACATTTTTATGACACATCTGTCGCGGGATTCCACTTTTTTGCACCTACAATCCTACAATAGCAAAAAGTAGCATCAATGTCAGAGTAAACGTTACGTAGTTGCGTAAATATGCTTGATAGAGCAGTCAATACCGAAAATTAGCGGTTTCGGGACTTTCTAAATTTAAATTTCTGAAATAAAAAATTTATTTTTTTTTATTGAGAACACATACAAATTTTATTATTATCAAACGCAATAAACTTGCCCTTACATTAAACTAATATATATCCCGTCCGTACTTAGCTTCGCCTTACTAACTATGTTATTATTGGATGGAATGCTTGATTCAAATACTTTAGCTTAATCGTCTCTCGTAAATATTTACATACATACATAAATTTCACACTTTAAACTTTTGACAATAAGTTATTGATTTTTACTATTTATACTAACATTTTTTTTTAAATCATAAAGATTAACTTCAACTTTTGCTGTGCTTTAAATTATGAATTAAGTGAATGACAAACACGTTTTGACAATAAGTTGTTTACAAGCGTATTAGCTCCGTGAGAGTGTTTTTTATCGTCAACTTGTTGCAACTTGTGGCTTGCGTTTTATAGGAGACTTCAAGAAGGTCAAGTGACTATTTATTTTTGTTAAAATTAAAGTAGTTTAAAGTGGTCCCGACTTACGGATCTGCATGAAAAGCACATTTTTATGAACTTTTTTAAGACTTTTAAGAGTTTTATTTTTAGGTCTTATATAAAGGCCTAATAATTCTTAAAGTGATGTTTATTGCAGCTGTTTTCAATTTTATTTAAATCCCGAACTAATTTTGGTTTCTTTAGTCCCGAAGAATATATGGTAGAGCTATATTTTAAGAGGATTTAATTTTTATGTGCTTTTTTTTCAAAAAGCTTCCGAAGAAATAATTTATAAAATTTCAAAAAAAGTCGCGGGATTGGGTGAAAATTTAACCAACCTCATTATAAATATTAATATTTTCTATGTTATCATATGTAATTTTTTCTATTTACACTTAAAAAAATTTTAGAAAAAAATTAAGTTCCGTAAGTCTTTTACAAATTATATTAAAATCTCAAACAATTTTTGGGAAATCGATACCAATTTTTTTCTAATTTGAAAAAAAAAAACGTTTGAAAACAGTTTTCGAAGCTAAAAGTTTACAATTTGATCTTCGACTTTGATCTATTTGATTTTATTAAAATAGTATCTCAAGCTTCATGTTAACAATTTTATTTAATCGCATTACGTGAAATTTTAAATATTTGTTGTATTAAATAAATTAATTTTCAGCTTTTATAAAATCTTTAAACGGTTTAAGATTTTTTATAACCATTTCATTAATCCCGAAACTCTCAGCGAGGTTTCACTTTCACATCACTAATGATAACTGTATACGTTATAAACCTTTTCTTAAACTTTAGTGATGAAATGCGAGTTTTGTTTTGAGATAAAAACGCTAGTAAAAAAGCAAGACAAATATTTATATAAGCGAATGAAGCGCGCTAAGATATTATTTATGTATAATATTTGGCAATTGTGTTTGAGTTTCGAGTAGTGTGAACCAACAGTACACCGCCACCAGTGATGGAGTTCACAAGTCGAAATTCCGTTACCAAGCACCAAAGAGACTCGCAAATAAACTAAGAGAAATCCCATAGTCAACCGTACACACACAGACATATACATATATATCTGATTAAGTGCAACTAGTTTAACGGTTAAACTGGTTTTCTGTGCAAAATTATAACGCTGTAAAAGTAAAGCCAAAATATGTTGTTAAATTTGTGTAAAAATTCACAAGGCGTTTTTCGCGCTGAATTTCGAACGCAATTGCTGGCGGCAGCGAGCGGTAAATACATAAAAATATGCAAAAAATAGTTACAAATAGTTACAAGCGGAGTGAAGGCATGACAGGTGGAAAGTGGTTTCGTGTATTTTTATTTAAGACTATAAATTTTTTAAATAATTTTTTTAATGCTTTAAAGTGAGTGTTTATTGTTGAAGTTTGTGGAATGAGCTGAAAAATTTAAATAAAAGTAAAAGTAAAAAAATTGAGAATAAAATCAAAAAATAAATGTAAATATTTGCTAAAGATTATAAATATTTTTATTTGTCATAAAAATATATTGTATGTCTAAAAAAAGCTTTACTATCATAAAAAAAAAAAAACACAATTAAAAATTTAAATTAAATGGTAATTAATTAAAAAAAATAATAACGTAAAAATATTGTACAAACAACATACATACAACAAAACCATACATTTCTAAGATAAAAAAATAATAATAATAAGAAAATATGAAAAAAAATTTAAAAATAATGTTTTTTTGTTTAAATAACAAAATTAAATTAAAAAATTCTTAAAATAAAAAAAAAACAATTAATAAAATGTTTTGTTTTTAAGAAAATATGTCATAACATAGTTATTTATTTATAATAACAACAACAATAAAAACCAAAAAAATATGTCTTATCCCAAAGAAAAATTTGTATTAAAAAATCCAAAAATAATTAAAAGTCCAAATTAAATAAAAAATAAAACAAATTTAAAATTATACTTAGTTTTACAAATAAACGAAAAATATTAAAAACAAAAATAATAAAATATTAAAAAATTAATTTAAAAATAGTGTTTTTCTTTGTTTAAATAACGAAATCAAACTAATAATAAAATTTAAATAAAATTAAAAAAAAACACAATTAAAAAAAATGTTTTGTTTCTAAGAAAATATGTCATAACTTAGTTATTTCACTACAATAAAAACAAAAAAGCTATAAATAAAACATAAATTAAAAACAAAAAATATGACATTACATTTTTAATCGAATTCCAAATAAAATTAAAAAAATATATGTTTATGTGTGTGTAAGTAAATACTTGGTTTTACAAAATAAAAAAGTTCTAAAGAAAATAGTTTTTTATATTTAAAAAAATATGCATATAGTTTTTGGATATTTGATAAAAATTTAATTTGGTTTGTTTTTATTAAAATATGTCATAACTTAGTTATTTGCTTACGATGAAAACATATAAATACTCTTAAGAAAAATAATTAAGACATATGTAAATAATATTTCAAAAAACCTAAATAAAAATCAAAAAAAAATTTAAAAAATTAAATATCACATAAATATAATATTTGTTTTTACAAAAACAAAAAAGTTATAAAAAAATAATTTTAAACATTTAAAAAAATAATGATAATAATACAGATACATATGTATTAAAAAATTAAAAAATAAATTTTTTAAATATTAAATAAAAATTAAATATTAAAAATTTTTTATTTCATTCAAATATGCCAAAATTTTGTTGTTGGCTACAGCAAATGGTCTAATTAAATAAAATGAAAAAAAATAATAATTAATAAAAATTTAATAAATTAATAAAAAAATATTTATTGTATAAATTTAATAATATTTTTCCGTTTTTATTAAAACATGCCATAACTTGGTTGTTTGCTTACAACAAAATAAAAAGTTCAAAAATTAAAAAAAAACAACATCCAACATAATCCGCTTTCATGGAAATCTGCAATATTATTATTGTATAGCAACAACAGCAACCACTCACGAAAGAAACAAAACAAATAATTTAATTGCCACTTGTCATGCCTTCAATTGTCTTAAGAAAGAAGAAGAAGCACCACTTGAGCGATCTATTACTGAAACTGAAATCTAAGTATTTGTACTCGAAATATTAAATATTGCACTTGCCTTCGTATTGCCACCTAGTAACCATAATCACATTTTGCCATGGAATCGGACTTGGCTGGTTCGCGCCTATGCTGTTTAAGCTGCAAACACCCGCTGAAAGTCCGCTTGACTTTGAGGTTTCCGTGGAGCAGGGCTCCTGGATGGGTGCGCTGGTGTGCCTAGGCAGTTTAATCGCCAATGTGTTCTTCGGCTATCTATTGGATATAATTGGGCGTAAAGCCTGCATATATTGCCTGGCCGTACCGCATATTGTAAGTATGCTCAATAAATCAATATAATAAAAACAGGTTTACTTCAATTGAATATTTTCAACCGTAGTGCTTTTGGTGTCTCGTCTACTTTGCACAATCTATCGAATATCTTTATGCGGCGCGCTTCCTTGGCGGCATGACTGGTGGTGGCAATTACGTTGTCATACCGATTTTCATTGGCGAAATCGTCGATCCAGCGTAGGTCAAACTTTTTTCATTTTTTTTCGACTTAAAATATACAACACGCTCTACACTATGCACTCTCACATAGGATACGCGGTCGTCTCACTTCATTATTCACACTCACCTTGAATTCGGGCATGTTGATGGGTTTTACCCTATCCTCCAATGTGCACTATCACACTATACCGCTGTTGGTGATCTCACTACCCTTACTCTTCTTGCTGATCGAAACGTTCTTTCCGGAAACACCGACGTATCTCTTGCATCGCGCGCAAGTGGAAAAAGCCGAGAAATCATTTAAATTCTATCAGGGCCTCAATGCTGAGAGTAAGCAGGATACCGATAAGTGCAATGCGAAATTTTCGGAGTTACGCGATGCGGTTATGTCGCAAAAGTTGCAAACAGACGTTGTCACTTGGCGAGATTTCTGTAAGTCGCTTTCAAAATATATATTTTTTTTTACTTCACCGATAAAAAAATATACCGTTATTCAACTGCAGTTAGCAAACGCGCCATACATGCGCTAAGCATGGGCAGTATGCTGATTATAATTAACGTATTTAGCGGCAGCTTTGCAATACTCAACTATACTTCGTCCATATTCGACGCCGTCAAAACGGATATACATCCGAATACGAACACCACAATAATTGGCGTTGTGCAAATCATCGGCACCATAACCGCCATCATTTTGGTGGATCGTTATGGTCGTAAAATGCTGCTCATGCTCTCCACCGCCTCCATGGGTATTTGTTTGGCTGCGTTCGGCATGTATGCCTTCTTTGCCGAAGAGACTAGCGTGAATCTTACACCTTATCGCTCGTGGTTACCGCTGCTGCTTATGGCGCTTATCATACTTGCGGCGAATGTGGGCGTAATACCCGTCACATTTGTAGTGCTGGTGGAGATTCTACCGCCGAAGGTAATTTTCAATATAGCAAAAACACACAGACATACCATTCGTTTGAATTTGTCGATATTTTTGTGCTCGAGTCGTTTAAGTGGCGTTAAAGTGGCTTACATGAAAATCAGATGTGAACTGAAGTGTGTAAATGTTCGGTGTTGAAGACCAAAAATGCATAACTCAAAACTTTTTAAAAGAAATGAAAAATAATTTTACCACTTGGCCAGCTGAGAATGCGGCCACATTGTGATACATATATGTTGATGGAAAAAAACTCTCGAAAATCTTGAAAATGAGCCTGCTCTAAATTTGACTAGGCGGCTAATATCAATTCCGGCTGTTTCGCACGGTTCGCCGATAGTGGGGACAAACACTCCTTAACTAACTTTTAGTGCACAATGTGCGAGCACAAAGTTAATATTGCCGCTCTGCTATCGGAGTCAATGCTCACCTCCATGAAGGAGCCTGTATCTCGGAACATAAAAAGCAGTTTTTAGGAAGATTCCAAGCAAAGAGTTGGCAATCGAGATCGATTATGCGACATTTGGGATACTCTCACGATTTCTCACTAATGTCATAAAAATAATTAAATGACGTCGTTACGCCAGTTAATATAAGGGAGCGACGAGCAGAAAGCGTAATAAATTTTTACGGTTCTTGTATCTTCTATAATATATACCACAATTTCTACTGGATTTGTAGGATTATGCCGTGAAATCAACGCGTTATCTTATCTGGAATGCACTTGCAAGTTGAGATTTACATAACTATATTAGTTTGAATATATGGCCTCACCAAGTTAGACAAGCTAAACAGTGTTGCTGAATTTAATTTAATTCCAACCTAAGATTACAGTCGAAAACTCCACAGTGATATATGCATTTAAAAACTAGAAAATAATTGTACTATACCGACAATTTCGACCTTCGACATTGTAATTAAGAAAAAAAAAATGTTCAGGAAAAAGAGTAATACTCATTTGATCGCTTATAACATAGGAGTACAAAAATGTCGCGTAATTCGTAATGAAAATATTTAATTAATTAATTCAATGTTTTTGTAAAATAATCACTTATCTTTCTCATTCATGCAGATACGTTCAAAGGGCGCATCCTTTTGTTTAGCACTGCTTAGCATTTTGACATTTATTTTGATAAAAGTATATCCACCCTTCATGCAGGCCTTCGGTTTGTCAGCGTCAATGTGGGCCTGCGCTTCGTTCGCCGCCCTCGGCTTATTCTACATAGCCATATTTTTGCCAGAGACGAAAGGAAAGTCTATGAGTAAGGAGGATGCGTAAAAAAGCATTACAAGTGATTATTATAAGTGTTTATGTAAATATGTTTTAATAAAATTAAGCTTCATATGTATGTATTTAAAAATTATTTGTTTTGGCAAAAACCTTACTATAATATATGTATGTATCTAGACTCACGAGTTGAAATTACAAAGAAGTTGTTTTAATGAATATATTATTATATTATTTTATATTATTTATTTACTTCAATAAAGACAGCAGAAATACTAAAGTGTAAAATATTTTTTAAAGATTTTTCTAGCTGATTAAATGAGCTAAGCCTCAGTATATCACCACTCTATTCGGCAAAAATTGGCGCTCTCTAATACTACTCACCACACAAGTTAACAACACACATTATTTCACCTCTCACCCCAACTAACAATAAGGATGATCCGCGCAGCTAAGTCACATCATTCGCACCACATATATTTTTTTTTCGTGTCATCTCGATCGGTAGCACCACAAGTGATTTCGATATACTTTATATTTATTTATTTTAATTAAAAATGTGTATATTATATATAATAATATAGTGCGCGAATAAATATAAAATATTCATTTTACTTAAACATTAATTGCAAGTGTTTGTGTTAATAATAACATTTCATGTACGGTGGTGAAGGCACTTCTCGCTAAATGGGGTTCCTTGTAAGCTGAGGATTTTTTTGATTTGGGGCTACACTACTACAATACAAAATCTAAGAAACTCAAGTGATTTAAGTTAGAATGAAATGATTGTTCCCTAATCAACTTATAAAATTCTTGGAAGTAGAAGGAAGTGGTAAGTAGAAAGAAGCAGATTTAAGATTAATTGTGTCATTAGAACGTAGTTGAGCTTATATTTTTCAAAGTGAGAGCTCTAAAAGTTGACTCACAGCATAAACTCAGAATCGGAGATCAAACTTCATAGCCGACTTTCGCGCAAGCCGCCGACTGATCATCAAATATATGACTTCATTCATTCAGTTACATTCGCTGTGCTCTGAGAGAACGTATGTGAAGAAACACCAGACGTTCTAGAAATGAAATGAGGGTTTTATGATGGCGCTCAGAAAGCATAGCGAAATACTTAGGATATACTTTTTTTCTATAAAAACCATTCTTGCACACATTTCTTAATACCAGCGTCAACCTCACACATACTGCTCAAATTGTCTCCAGTGCAATATATAACTACAATTTTGATTTACTAGTAGGTTGAGCTATTAAACATCGAATTTTCCAGTCTTGAATCTGACACATGCAATACTGCACTAACCAACTTTTTGCATAACCATCCAAACTCACTTACTCATTTAACTACAGTTCTCTATTCTATACTCCAACGTTATAGAGAGGTGTCCTTTTCTTCGTCAAATCATTAGGTGAAATCGATAACAAGACTACGCACTAATTTAAAGTCATCTTAAGTACTAAATTGTATATTCGGCATGTGGAGATTCTCCACAAAAGTCTATTGGGCGTTCCAAATCTACTTTAAGCTCTATTACCCGTCTAATGCAATATACATGCTCCATCATTTTTTTGTAATCCAAATTTCTTTATAAATTGATATCGTCCATCTAATAATAATATTACGATTAAGAGGTCCCTGCAATTGTGTAATTATATAATTATTATTTTTTGCCAACAGGACATTTATTTACATTATATACAAATAATGATGTGAAATTAATATGAAAAATATGCATGAGTTATTTTGAGAGTATGGTATTCTCCGCTCTTAATTTGTTGGTACTCTAGTACTTACTTTTATTTTATTTACATCCTACCTCCTATCAGCTCCCATTAGTTTTCTCCATTTTTCGTATCAAACCACTAGAAGTAGCCACAAGTTTTGAAAATAGTAACTAAGTCAGCAGTTATGCTCTATGCAGGAGATGTGAGTTGGGGCTGTTACTGCGAGAGTCGGGTATATCGAACCGGAACCAACGCGGATTTTAATATGTCCAAGAATTGTCAACTCGACATTTTGCGAATGCATTCTGCCACAACAACAATAACAAAGCAGTTAAGAAAGATAAAGCCTGAAATGCTTATCAAAAGCGGAGAAAAACGTGTAGTATTCTAGCTTTTGACCAAACTTCTTGTTACTGACTCGAAAATGTTACGTCCCACATCCCTTTAAAATAAGATTTCGTATCTCCTTCGGACTTGTAATACAAATTATCTTCGCTTCGTTCGTTCGTTGTTCAAAGCTAAAGTTCGACGCTGTCGTTACTTTAATTACCTACCAGACTAAACCGTTGAAACTAGGCATTTTTTAGGCCTCTAAGCTAGTGTAATCCTTTAAGCTGTTTTTATTTACAGTATCGCCAGGCGCCAGTTGACAGGTTTAGTGTTACATTTAAAGCGACATGACATTATCTTTAGTGTTTAGTGATAAGAACACTTAAATTCTATTTTGCACATTCTGCAGACCGCCTACGTAACATGATTGGTATACGCCTACTACGCCATATGTATGTATGTAGTCTTAAATATATTCACATGTATAAAAACAAAATAGAAAGCACGTGTTTCAATCAACATTGTCTTCGAATCAGTATATAATAATTAGTCTTACATGCATTAGTTTAAGAATATACATAGGGCGATATTTACATATCTGTATTTACTGTATTCAAGGCCTATAGGAAAAATCTGTTGTGAAGAATGGGGTTTTGGAATTTTTTAATATTTAATTAGGGTTGCAAACGAGCTCGTAAAACTGCGCGATTAGAAGCGGCAGCTAAAATAAAGTTATTAATGCTCCTCTGCAGCAGAGTGCTCTCGCTATTCGTGCTACCGCTAGATGATATCGCATTCAATATCTCCAAATATGGACCCATGTAACCCTTTAAGCAGTGTATCTAATTCAAACTATTCCTATAAGGCAACTGCATTCACCCAAAGAAATACTTGTATAGTAAGTTCTTATATATTATACAACAAACATAGGTATATATACTTGTATACAAAAGTCGTATAGTTGTATAGTTGATGCAAAGCTTAAGGGTGGGCGGTGTACTTACATATAACACCAATCCATCCACACATTTTTACCGCATGTTGACATTTCACCACACGGATGGTCGCACTTTTCATGCTCCCCTCTATCTCTGATATGTAGGAGAAGTAAATGAATGTTTCAAGTTTTTGACGTTAAATTTCCCAGAACGTGGAGGTTACTTTAATTGATGAGCATTTATTCATTTAATTTACTGTCACTTCGCGCAGGCTTTGGAGGTTACAAATCGCAATTTGTTTTGTATTAAGTGACACATACATACTTGTATGTTAATGATAAACGACACAGATAATATAAACATTACATGGGGTAAATATGTATACGCACGGTTTAGGAAAATTTGTACAACTTAAAGTTAAAATTAATTAATTTAATACTTTTTATAATATTAAGGTAACAGATATTAGCAGTGAGTCATACTTTCGTACCTGGACTTCTCGTAGGTTAACACAAAAAAAGTTTGGAATATATTCGTCTATTTTTAATTATATTGAAGCTTCCGGATTTAGGTATAGCGCATATCATATTATATGTTTGGGGGGTAAAGAGTGTACACGTAGATGTTAAATGGGTCTCATATTCTCTTCCTTAGATTTTTGTGTCATCATCAATAATGCGCATACGGCTCGCATGTGATGCGAGTAAGTTGCGACCTGTGACTTGTGGCTCGGATGCATAATTTATATGCAGCCGCTTTCTGTTAGCCACCATATCTATCGGTTTCCTTTTTTTTTTTTTTGTTTTTTGTAAGTAGGGGGAAGCATCGAAAGCCGAAGTGCGGAACTTTAATCCGCTAAACCTAACCTATTCCCACCGCATATCCCTCCCACGGAACTACCTGATTAAGTATTACTCCTGTTTCCTTCAAAAGCAGTACATTTGCTACAAGTGAACACAGGAGAAGCGACAGTACACTATTCTTAGGAGTTTCTGTTCGCGCTAATCTGAGCAATCTGGCTTCGTTCCATTCTACATTAATCTTCCTGCAGCTCATAAGAGCTTGTATTCATGTTATGATTGCAGCTTCCAGATTATTAACGACTGCTCTATTGGTTGCATTATTAAATGTTCCGCTTATGTTAAGAAAGACGCTCAGGGCATATTCCTTATGTTCTAAAGCTCTCTCTATATCTAGGGTTAGAGTGAAATGAAGTATCAGTGGTTCTACTCTTCGTATAGGCGTTTTCTACATAAATATACATATTTATATATACAATATAATTAATTATTATTTACACTCAAAATTCACAAAATTAATTTTGTATTCCTTCATTTATCTTCCAGCAGAAGTCCATGGTTCAAATCCACAACAAAATGACCGGTGCCAAAGTACGATGAGTAGAGTGTGAAAATGTGTTCGAAACTCTTGTATATGCAGTGTGTGACCATCTTGTTGCTTTCCATTTTAACTACCGCCACTTTACGATTGGTAACATCCACAACAACAACAACAACAAGCGCAGAGGCCGCGGGCGCTCCTGCTAAGGTAAATATTTGCGAACGAATGTAGCCATACAGACTAATATTGTAGTACACCTGTATATGCATACATATGTACATACGTATATAACTATTTAGTAGTACAAATATGTGCGTATGTGTGTGTGTAGGGAAATGTTTTTGTTTATTGGCTGCAATAAAATAAGAATGAATAATTTGTTATATAATTATTACCAGCAACAAGGCAGATGGCGCCATTAATATTTTATTACACATACTACATATGTATGTATGTAAATAATTGTGAATTACAATATATGAATGAATGCGTAGTAGGTGTGCGTGTGTCTCAGAGCCATTGTGCAGCAAGTAAAATAAATAAAAATAGAAATTATTTAATTGAAGAAATATTTTTGGGTAGAGTTGTTTGCAATTTTTTTAAAGGCTAGAAATAAATTAGAATTGCCAAGCAATTTTAGACATATTTTTTAAATTATATTAACTGATTAAGAATACTTAGCTAATTTAATGAAATCTTCTTATTACAGCGTTTAACACGTTCTGGCAAAATAACAGGTAAAATAGAATGAATATTGACATAAATTGATTATATGAATAAATATAGAGCGTCTTTTTTGTGGAAGAGAATTTCCTACAACGTTAATTGTAGAAAAAAATTCTGTTCAAAAACTTATTTCAATTCAAATGCATAAAATTTGCCAATTAAGAAAGCCACTTTCGTTAATTATACGCTGAACAGGGTGTATTAAGGTTGCCACG